GAAACTAATCGTGTGATTGAATTTCCCAAACTCACTGCACCAGGTTTGCGGTTGTGGTCAATGTGGAAACTGAGCCCTTTTACAAGCTGGGACACCTTAATCTGCTATCTGGACCTAAGGGGTTTCATGCTCCCAAAGCTTCTTCTGCCACCTCACCAACACGATGCAAAGGCAACGAACCCTGCTGCAAGCTACGTGCGAAGTGTGTTCTGTCTGAAAGAGCCATCATCGGTTCAAGACACTTACTTTAAGGTACCGACTCAGCAATTCCTGAGCACATGAGGGATTCTGTCTGAGTGAGTTGCTTTCACATCCAAACATGCAACATGATGAACAATGATTGTACCTCTGACAAAAGCAACCAATAGGACATTTCAACTGCAATAGCCATAGTTTAACTATTTGGGGCAGCACTAAAATAAATCCCAAGTAACAAAAAAATGGCACCATATAGACCAGGTTAATACAGCTTAAATGTAAAAAGTGAATTTTTTGGGGGTGAGTTACACTTTAATTTCTATATTTGTCTAGTTCTATTATGCCTAGAGACCCATCTCGTCCTCCAGATGTACCAAACTATTAAAAGCAAAAACACAAAAACAAACTTAGCAGCTGAGAGAACTGTACAGCATTAACATTCCACCCTGTGTTACATCTGCTTGAGTCTTTTTTTTTAAACTAGTTCTACTATAACTCTGCCAAATTCCCAACATAACTGCTCCCATTTGCACGTTATTTTTTATTTTTTTTTTGCTGTCATCAGACAGTAAAACAAATCGGAAATGACGACTGGACAGCAGCCCATAAAGACTACATATCAAATACTTCTTCACCCCAAAAATGCCCATTTTATATCCCACTAACACGTTCTAATGAAATCCATCTACTTCTAGGTTGAAGATAACAAGCAAGTCATAGTTTTAACGCTCAGCTCTTTCCTTCTGGTTAACAAACCGCTAGATGTTGGCACACATGCAGCTCATTCATGCCGATGTCAACTGCCGTGTAGTCAAATGGATGTTCTGATCTAAATTAAGACCACACATGACAGAACTGGCAACTACATTGAAAATGAGATGAGGGAAGCGGTGTTGCTTTTTGTTTTGTTTTTGTAAAGTTGCTGATATACGCCTATAGCATGGCGCTACACACAGAAAGTTTCACAAAGTTTAATGTTGCTAAATACTGGCTGGTTTTTCCCAAAATTAATTTTAATGTCGTCTTTTTTCCTGTTTAACCACGCATTTTAGGGTGGTTTTTACATGATGGATGAGCAGAAGGAAATAAACTGAAATTTAGATGTTTTTCTTCTTTAAAAAAAAAATCTGAGTGCGATGTGAATTTTAATTCAGTTCCCTTTACTGTTATAATCCTGAACAGCCGTCCAGTGCAAAACAAATTGTTTCTTTATTCATAGAAAGAAAACCTCAGAGATTCTTCAGAGAACGTTAGTGAACCAACAGGATGATGAATATCTTTAAAGCAGGCTTAGGTTATAAAACAATATTGAAAGCATTCATAAAAACCTGTTCAACAGCAGATAGCAGTAGAGTATTAATTACAGAAGCAGCCAAGAGACCCATAGGTACTTTGGAGGAGCTGCAGTTTACTGGGAAAATCTGTTGTCTGGATAGCAACTACTTTGGGATTTGTCCACTTCTGTGGTCTAGTATTTGGAGATGCTTTTACGCTGAACTTCACTTCTTTATCTTGAGTGCCTCTCAGGATTCCTGTCTGTGTATGTGTTTTTTCTGTGTTTGTCTCCCTTCCTCCACCAGGAGGCGCCTGGTTCTGGTCCGCCTCCCTACACACCTGCTGTGAGTTACCTCATTAACGGAGCTCTCTTAAGCTGCTGACTGCCATTACCTTGACGCCAGAGTGTTTGCCAGTTTTGGGTACTCTAGCCAAGCTGAGTTTTTGCTAAGTCAAACTGAGTTCTTGTCAACCTGAGTTTTAATTGTTTTTGTCTTTGCCTCTCGGCAGGAAGTCATCCTGCAAACTGGATATTTCGGACCTTCTCTCCCTGGAAGGATCATCTGAGCTTCAAACTGAGTTGAGGATTCAAACTGGAGGTTTGAATCCACTTTCCTTCAAGAGATTATTTGAGCTTCACACTGAGTAAGGGATTCATCTCCACTACGACCCGTTCAAGTACCGCAGGAAATCTGAGTGGCAGTCAGCTTCTTCGTTGGCCTACTAACAACTGCATTCTGGGTAAACCCTGTCCGCCCTCCACCGAATCAGACAAACACTGAAACTTTCGTACACAGACTGGAGTCTTAGAGTAAGCAACTTCTCTGGAAACGTGAGTTATCTACCAAATTCTCCTCTTCAAGTTCGAGAATCAAAATTCCTACGGAGCCTGAGCTAACCGCAGTGTCTTCCCCTCACCTTTCAGTTCCGGTTAAGCAGTGTTCAGAGCAACACTGGATTCACCACAAACTCCTAAATAAACCTGTTAAACTTTTCCCCTGGTCTCTCTGGATTGGTCTCTCTGCATGTTGGTCCAAGCTCTTGATAAAATCATGACAGTGGCAACCATTACTTATACATTGGATTCTGTTAGAATTTTTTATTTTAGTCAAGGCTTAGCTGGTGAGGCAGATTATCACGAGCTAATGGTGAGCATAAGTCGTTCTTTAATGGATGGAAACGGGGGGTGGTGGAGAATTGGAACACAGTGTTCCTCTAAGTGCAAACAAAACTCACCTAACAATAGGTACAGGTAAATAAGAAACATCTGTTGTTAGTAGAAAAAAACCCTTTGTGGCAAAGGCTGTTTTCTTTTTACTGATTCTCTAAGGCAGTGTTTCCGAAACTTTTTTGACTTGTTTAACCCTTTGGGTGTTTTGATTGCTGTCCAAAAGTAGAATGTATAAGAACTAGTTATAGAATAAATGGTGTTTTATTTAATATTTTTACCTTTAGCATTTAATTCTTTGGTATTTTATTATTTCCAAGTCATATAAAAAATCTACATAAATATGTTGCCCAGAAACCAAATTACATACACAATAAAATCAAACTATAAATTTGCCTTTATAAGACTTGAGCTCCTCTGAGTAACTCCCCTATAATAGTATTTAAACTTAAGGAATTGGAAACAAGATACTGAACCAAAATTATAGTCAGACTGATTCAATATATTTTACTTTCATCACTCATGACCCCTGGGTTTGCTTTGATGATCTCAGGTGAGGAAAAAAAACAGTGGCTCTAAGGATGTACTAACCATCTGACAACCCTGATAGGAAGCAAGTTTTAAAGCTCTGATGTTTAAATGTGGATAAAGTTTAGGTGAATAAAGAGTATAAAAACTATTACAATTCACACAGTATTTATTTTTGATTCCACTGGAGCATTTGCCATAACTGATGACTAGTAGGAACAAAAAGACATTAACAATCAATCAAACATAAGATGTCACAGTTGCATTTATAGAGGTTTTGGAATGGCAGTGTTTAAAATAAACTAAAATACTTTTGTTAAACACTGACTCTTCCAATACATTACAGTATTACTAGCCCTTAGTATGACTCAGCAAAAATAAAGTAGCTCTCAGTTTCAAAATAGTTGGTGACCTGCTTTAGAGCAACCAGAAGGTTTAGATTGAGATGAAAAAAAAGATAGAAATGATAAATATATACAAAAATAAAAACATTATTAAGATTTTAAAAAATAAAGATATAACTGAATACAACTGAATGTCCACTAATTTAATCCTTTGCTTTAAAATAATCAGTGAAGATCAATGAGACAAATAATTGGTTACAAAGGTGCAGACATAAATCCCAGATTTAGTTTGTCAAGCTACTCTGGTAAAACAAAAAAACAAAAAACAGGAATACAAAATGACCAAACAAGAAAGAAAACTGTCATTTTCATTTGACAGCACATTTATGCATTATAATGATTGACAGATGTGGTTTTAATTTGACAAAATATAAAAAAAATTGTCAGGTTGGATGAATAGATAATCGAAAAATAATTTTTGCTAAGACCCTGCATGTGGGATTGTTTTCTTTTTTTTTGTCTGTTCCACTTTTGTCTGGTAAATCCAGATAAGATGTTATATCTCAGTGAATAGCGTAAAAAGTACCATTTAATTAAATGAAAAATAAAACCAAGAGTATACAGCTTTATGTATTACTGAAGCATAAAGGTTTTTCTGCAGCGGCTGGTGTCAAGATTCTGCCCTTTTCTGGACTTTTTGGTTCTGTTCTGTTTTGAGTTTCACTTTGATTTATGTCATTCTGTGTTTTCTGGGTCTTTGGTTTCATTTTCATTTTGTGTCATTCTAGTTGTTCTCTGGTTTTATTTGAGCTCTTATTTGTTTCTTGTTTACTCTTTCTTGCCCCCCTGTGTCACTCTCTTTTCCCCTAGCTCCCTTCTAGATCCTTCTGTCCACACCTGCTCCCAATCAGTTGATTACACTATCCATTATTCTGTTGTGATTGTTGTTATTTCATATATTAATTTATCCTGTTTACTCACTATAAAAGTTTTCACTCAGTCTCTTTCACCTGCAAGGCCACACCATTCTAGCGTGAGGATGTTTGTAGACCAGACATAGCTTCTTCCCATAAGAAACCAGATTCTTTCTCAAGGCTTATTCATAACATATAATTTGTTTTGACCCTGACTACTTTCCATTGTTGTAAGTAAGGGGGAACGAACGCTGCTCAGGCAGAACAGGGCTGAATGCTGTGCCATAAAGACTGTATGATGAACTGTTCTTTCTTTGCAAAGATATGAATAAAGTGCCGACTGAGTAAAATCCATCGATCTCCGTTTATTTAACTAGAGTGAATAGTTGAATACTTTTTTTCCCACTACAGCATATATACTCAACTGCTCCTCTGCAGTTACTCTTTGCTGGACTCTCTTCATTCTTCATTCCTTCTGTTTATTCCTCCCTAGTGTTTCCTAGTTTTTGGTTCCTGAGTTTCTTGTCGATCGGTTCTGGAGTATGGCTTCTGTATTTTAACTTCATTAAATTTAGCAAGAGATCATCTCTGGCTCTTTAGCTCTGCATTTGGTTCCTCAACGATTATCCACTAATCCTGACAGCTGGTGCAACTAGCACAGACTGAAAAGCCTTTGCATGAAGAAAACCCGGTTAACAGAATCAATTTGTGACGCCATCATCATTGGTAAAGATTACAGGGGCTGTGGTTAATTTTACAATTGAGGCACTGTTGTCTTTATCGGTACTTTTTGATTTGGATCTACAACCACAGATCTTTGTCTGGACGTTCAGAATTTGTTTAAACGCAACACTAAGCTCGGCGTGACTCAGAACAAAAATGACGCTAACATTATCAAAGACACGGAGCAGTGGATCATCTGTGTAAATAAAAAAAATCCTCATGCTTCCTAAAAAAATAAGATGTCATACAAATCCTGTGGATTTACACATTCTTCTGTTTATTTTAGATGGTTTTAAGAAAAATCCAAAAGATTTCTAAGTGATTATACAGCATGCCTCACTTCTGGATTGGCTACCAAAAAACAGCGGCCGTATCCTGAAATAAGAAAAACAGATTCGGCACAAAAAATCGATGTGAATGTTGATCTGAGAAATGACTCAGGAAAAACAGTGTAGTTTCTTTACACTGAGCCTTTGCGCTCCTAAGGTTTCAAAGGTTTCACAGCTTTGATGAGGGAACTTCCGATCTCACACTGTGCTAGCTGCTGATTAGTTCAGATCATACCATTTATTTCAGTGAAGGAACGGAGCCCAACAGGATCAAAGAAAATGTTACTCTGTGGTGAAATATTGAGTCTGTCAGTAAAACTGGACAGGATAAAAATCAAATGTATAAAATGCTGAACATGTTGAAACTAACTGCTGTAAAAGCCAAAGTTATTAACATGGCCTCTGTGAAAATTAGAAACTGTGAGTGTGGGTGTCATTAAAATGATAACATGGTAAATATTAGAGTTATAAAAATCTAGTTTTCTGTTTTTTATTTACTGGCTTTTTTTTGTGCCTCCACTTTCAGCTTTTAAATTCTATCGTTCATGGCGTCCACAGAGTGATGTCTTCAACTTTTAGACGATGGCAATGTGGCAGCAGCAGCCGAGTTAAGCCAGCAATGGTGGACTAAGAATGCAGAAACTGTGAATAAAATATAAGTAATACACTTTCTGTGACCAAAAGGGAAAGTCACAGATGTTTTGGTGCCTCCCAATTTGCAGCCTCATCTTGTAAAATTATCATTTCAATGATTGATGATTAGGAGGACCATTTATTTTGATGATCCACCCATAAAAAGAAAATCCTCCACTATACCTTTAAAGAATATCAGCTGATTGATTTTATGATTCTTTAGGTGTTTTTGGTTGAGCAGTTTCCACTCCCTCTCCCTCAAAAGGCACCTGATTCGTTCAGAGGTCTACTCCTGAAGGCTCATGATCGTTATTAGTGGTTTTCAGTCCCATAGAATGGCTTTAGATTGTGCCTGTAGGCTCATTAGCTTGTTATTACCGAGTGAATCCTAATCCTAACCCTAAAGTCATTCCTTTCCCCCCGCGGAATTTATTAATCAATGTATGTGTAATCTAAAAAAAATGTCAGTAGTTCTTCATGTGCTGTAAAAATAAATAAATAAAAATAAAACGATCCGCGTTTTGCTCATATTAAACAAACTAAGAGCAAATAAATCTCATATCTTGTACACTGGGTTGTAGAATGCTTTCCATATAAATATTTAATTATTATATTATATTTTATAATTTAATTCTCTGTGAAAAAATGCTGATCATTCTTTAATAAGATCCTCCTCATCTTGTAACGATCTTGGTTCTGTTGGTTTTCTCTAAGTTTTCGAAGTTTCAATTTCATCCATGTTGTTCTTTGTTTTCTAGCTTTATTGGTTCGTTCTGGATTTATTTAAGTTTCTTAGGTTTTTCTTTGCTTGTCCTCTGTTGCCCCCTCTTGTTTTCTTCTTTCTCTCGTCAGCTCTACTTACACCTGCCCCTTAGCTCGTTAGTCCTGCCTTTGTTCAGTCAGCCATAAATACACTCCCTGTGCAGTCCCTCATTGCTGGTTCCTCGTCTTACTTCCTCTTACCCTGGCGCCTTGTGATTGTTTTCCTCCGATGTCTCCATGGTTCTGGTTTGAGTTTAATTTTTATGTTGGATTTTTGGATTCCCGTTTTGCTACCTGTGTTAAATCTGCAAGAACTCTCCTCAGTCTCCCTGCCTCTGCATTTGGGTCCTCACAAAAAACCTCCAACACAATCGTGACACATCTAATGGACATGCAATGTTTGTTTTTAAACCTAATGTGTGTAACAAACCCAGTGAATGATTTTTTTTTTTTTTTGTTTTATGCACAAACTACAACAAAAACCTGACTACATCACAAAATAAAACAGTGTGCTTGGATGTAAGGAGAGTGGAGACGGAGGAAACTCTATGTAACGTGTAATACTAAGGGTATGCTGGCCTGACCCGGTATGCTGAGCTGACAGAACACTGGGGTGGAGCAGAGCAAATAGTTATCGTACGTGGATTGCTTTCTTGTGATTGGCTTATAGAAGGGAGCTCTGTGATTGGTTGTAAACCATCCCGTATAAAAAAATGCATTTGTGTATCGAGGCAAGTCAGGAGAGTCTCAAAAATCCACACACCAATGCAGTGAAGTTTAAAGACCACCGATACTTTGTAATTGAATTTTTAATTGTTTATGTACCAGAAATACTTTGCCGAATCATGTGCTGTGCATGTGTGAATCTTGTATGTGTATTTGTCAAAATTGAGACCGATTTAGCTCCATAGCGTACAGCTACTTACTACAAAAACTAGTACTTCTGTTATACTAATTTTGATCAATCATCAGGGAAACTGTGTTTGCTGAAGAAAGAGCTTCCCTCATCTTTTAATCTGATTCAGCAAAGGTTTAAACAAGTACTGCCCTGTATGTAAGAATAAATAGATCCTGATGTCTGGTACCAATATAAAAGTTTTGTTCATCCAGTCTTACCTGTGTATCTGTCTGGAGGGGACGCTGGAGATCATCTTCCTCCAGTTTCCCAGCATCTTGTTGACGGCGCTCCTCTGTTTAAAGAAATGTCCCAGTGAGCTGTTCATCATCACAGACTCGTCGCCTTCCGCGCTGTCCGCTGCACCAGAACCATACTCTGCATGAGCCCCAGTGCTGCCATTGCTCATCGTCCTTTTGACCGCATCCCTGCTCTTCAGTGTCACCGAGTAGGCAGACTTTTTCCAGTGACCTAAAAAGAGGACTACTATGCGCTCCTTCCTGAGGCTGGTGGTTTCCTGGACATCTGCCACGTTTTCATCATTATCGATCCCAGAATCACTGTTCTGGTCTGTTTCAGCTGCCGGCTGCAACTCCTTCAACTGTCTATCTTCAAGCAGAGAGGAAGGACAGAACGTAAGGCCTTCCTCTGGATGGTCTGGTAAGGATGTGCCCTGATTCTCAAAGTTTGACCTCAAAGTCCTCACAGACACTCCGAAATGATGGATTTCATCCTCGATGCTCTCCCTGCGCACCCTATTGGAGATCTGTCTGTCCGGGGCCTGGGAAAACACGGTGATGAGTTCAGTGTTGGGCATCTTACAGTAGGGCTGGTCTGTCAGGTTGGTCATGAGGAGAGACATGCTTTTGACGATGCCTGAGATCCGGCCACACCAAACAGGTAGGGGAACCTGGCTCTTGAAGTTCCTGAACTGGGTGTTGACAGTGATGTTGACGATGGGAGCTGGGAGGATGTGCCTGAGCTCCTCAGCCAGACGAGCCAGCTCCAGCTCGTAACCTGCACAGTTCCTCTGCAGAGAGACGTTGGCAATCTGCTGCTCCAGATAGATGAGGTCATCCTCAGTCAGCAGCTCACCGGAGGGTCCCAGGATGGCATTGTGGGCTTGGGAGTACCTCCAGCTGACTTTGGCATATCTGTTCCCATTTTCCTGTAAATAATACAGTCGGATGAATATACAGGATGTCATTATAACGTCCGTCAAGCGTCTTAAATGTGATGGAAAACAGTAATGATACAGTAAAACTGCAACACAGCTCCCATCCAAACCTCAAGAAATATGACTCGGCTCGCAAAGCACTATGTGTGAATGATTTGTTATGAGCAATTAAAAGTAAATGGTGACTTTAAACGTAGATGTAATGTAGATTTAAAACGACATTACAGAGTCACAGTACATTTGGTGCTTTTCTCATCACAGCCTCAATGGCTTATTTGTTTGGGAGAAGCAACGATGACAGAAAAATCAAACGGTGGTAATAAAAGTCATGAAATTGTAAAACACATGAAGTATTAATAGGAGCCTTTTCTGTTGGGGACTATTTCATTTTAGAATAACGGATCTATATGAAGTGAAAGCATTTAGGTTTGGACTGAAAGAGCAAAACAGTTTACTGGCACATGTCAAATTTCTTATGCAGTTTACTGACAGAACATGTTGCAGGATTTTTCAACTCTGGAAAGAATGGAGGTGCACTTTATATTTTCTCCCTGATTAAGATTGAATTAGGTTCCAATAAAATAGGTTAATTCTGTCCACTTCTGAGCCAATGATTTAGTCTTGGTTATAATGTTTATGGACATCGAGAAGAAAACAAGTAATTTAAGTCAGTGACTCCCAAAAATAATAGTGACCCCTAAAAACACACTAAATTATTTCATGCTACATTTCCAAACAAATAGAAATACATACATTTATTTATTAATTACATTCATGACTAATTTTAGCAATGCTGTTTATAGTTTTCATTATTCAACTGTGCATTTTATTATTTAATTGTATATTTAGTATTGGAATCAATATAAGTAAGATTTACATCGACATAGAGTGATATGGATATAGAGCTGTCCATAGATATCCAATTTGATTTTTAAGCAATATGGCTTAAATATTGAATTTACACATTTTTTTTTTCACACCAAATCTGATTTATTGTTAAAATTTTATTTTTATAAACAAAAGAAATATATTACTTTCAAAAACTAGCTTTTCTTTATGTCCTCTCTCTGGGTGTTGATCTTCATTTAAAGGGCAACAACATTTTACAAAAAATAAAAATGAACACTAAAAGTTTGCAGCTGATGCTATTACACAGTGAGCTAGATAATCAGTTCTTAGTGGACATTTAAGAATGAAAACGGATGAAGTGAATTCCCCCTGAACTATAGAAGTGCAAAAAGTGAAATGGTTGGAAAAACAGTTTTGGTTCCAAAAATGAATCTGCATAAATTAATAATTGATAAAGTTGATTATTCTCCCAGCCCTTAATCAACTTATCTAATTATATATTCTGGTTCTCTGTATGCATCAGGAATCACATCACCATGACTGTAAAAATCATTTTGCGACCCCTTAAATTAGTGTTTCTTGACCCTCACTTTGGGACCCTTGAACTAAAGCTGGTTTTCAAATTTAAAAGAGGTCCTGCTGCAAAACCCTGCAAGAAAAAAAAAGGAAAAAAATGGGTGCCTGAAAAAAAGTTACAAGTTAAAAACTCTAAATCTTAAGGGAAAAGGATAGTCGGAGCAAGTTAAATTGAAAGTAAAATTATTTAATAAACAAAAAGAAGCAACAGCCCACAGCATTAAAGATCTCCTACCATACTTTACAGTGGGAATGAGGTTCTCTTCTTCACATTTAGTTCTTTTTATTATACTAAAGTCTGTCTGTCTGTCTGTCTGTCTGTCTGTCTGTCTGTCTGTCTGTCTGTCTGTCTGTCTGTCTGTCTATCTATCTATCTATCTATCTATCTATCTATCTATCTATCTATCTATCTATCTATCTATCTATCTATCTATTTGTCTGTCTGTCTGCCTACCTGGCCGCCCGCCCGCCCACCTACCTACCTACCTACTTACCTACCTACCTACCTACCTACTTACCTACCTACCTACTGTACCTACCTACCTACCTACCTACCTACCTATGGATGGTTTGGAAGGAGAAAAAACTTTTCCGATGGGTAATCTTGTAAAAAAGAAAAAAAAAGAAAAGAAAAATGTTTTATAAATAGCTGATTGAATAATTGTTCTCAAATGTGACAAATTTGCTTTTTTTCCTCCAACATACCGCTGTCAGAGGAGGCCATTGCAATGTACAGGTGGGTTTATTTTAAGGCTGTTGCCAAAAAAATCCACAGGGTGCCAATTAATTGATCCAGCTCAATTGGAACAGCTGGAAGCACTTGTTGCTTTTATATCTTATTAGACTTAATTGAGGCATTTTTAAACACATTTATTACATGTGTAGGGGATATTTAGTTCCATATACAGATGTTATCAACATAAAGTAGCGCTAAAATGAAGGATATGAGGCTGCTTTCCTTAAGACTTCTCTTAAGATTTTCCTGTTTTTAATTCATGGACAAAATGAATCCAAGTTACACGCTGTGAATTTTCTGAACATTTACTCTAAGGTTCTTCTCTGACCTTCTGTTGCAACAACACGTTTAAACATTTCCAGTTACTACTGAGCAGTTCTGTCCATGAGGTTTGCCAAAGTTCAGCCCATTCCAACCATCATGACAACTCTAGCTAGGACATACTGAGACACATTTCTCAAGAGACACATGCAGTAGCTTTACTCCTGGTGAAAACATGTAAATGCAGATTTCTAAGGGTTTGAAAAAGTGCTAGAATAACCTAGCGGCATGAGTGCTACACTGTGATGGATTCAGTAACCCACATCTTGAATGGACAATGTTTCCCTCCAATAGCAAGTGAAAGTTCTCCAAATCCACCCATTAATTAGCTCGTCTCTTGTCCTCATAGCCCTCTTTGTGCGACTCCAAAGATTTAACTCTGGACTCCAGTGACGTAACTCCACAGCAAACTTTAGCTCTGCTAATTTTGTGGATTTGGTCGTTGCTTCAACTAAAAATCACGCTGAAAATAATCTACCGGTACTTTTCATGTTTAAGCCTGTGTCTCTAACCTGATCCTTCATCATTTTATCTGTTTTGAAGAAAAGTTTATCCTAGATCATGAAAGGGGACACTATCAGGTGTTGGTGCTGATATAATGTTCTTATGTTCATGTCTCTGTGTGCATTAAGGGCTGGGGATTTATTTCTTCTCTTCTCCAGACAGATACATTTATAAAAGGTGATCTTTTAAACCTCTCTGCAAAGTATACTGCAAAAATTATCTAGAAATAAACAAAAAAGGTCTTAAATTAAGCGTATTTGGCCTTAATTTGAACAGATAAATAAGATAATTTGCCAATAGAATTTGTTTTTTTACTCTTAAAATGATATTATTAGACAATATGCACTTGAAATAAGCTATTTTTGGCAATTGTTTTTTTTTTATTTTAAATGTAGATTGTCTTGTTCCATTGCAAAGTATGTCACTTACCTCCTCAATTCCAGAAAAAAAGGCACTTATTTTAAGGGAAAATTACTTATTCAGATTAAAAATTTTTGCAGTGGAAATCTTTAGATAAAAAGGTGCAGCTCTGATCTACTATAGGATGTCAAAATGTCTTTGAAAACATTTTACTTTAAAAGTCCAAAATTGTAATTTGTATTATTGTAAGGTCAACTCCAGGTGTGTATATTATGAATATTACCTCTGTTACCAGAAAGTATTATTTTGTAGAAATTATTGTTCGTTTTGGTGCTATTTGCTATCCAACCTTGAAACGAGACATTTTGTGGGTACCGCCCCTTTCATGACATCACTCTAAGAACACTGTAACATTTAAGGATGTTTTGAAAACTAAAACACAAGCATTAAACAATGTGCTATAATACAGATATGTGAGTAATAAGCCAATTCTACTGCAAGAGTTTAGCAAGTGATTTTATTCACTCACAGCTCTGAGCTCTACATCAGGTGTTTTCATTGTAGGAATAAGGATTGTTTTGCTAATCCACTTTGGTATCAACTCTGTACAAGTAGGGGTTCACCAAGCATTCCAGGCATGCTAATTCATATTGCCCACTTCAAAGTACCCTACATGAGAATTTAAGTAATCAATTCTACTAAAGATGAACACATAAATTAGTTTATCAAGATCCTGCTGAGACATTAGTCCTTTAGTCATGAATATTTTTTTAGGTGATAGAAGGCCGATTTTCAATTGTCTTTATGTTCGTCTGAAGGTTCAGGTCTGAGTCCATCACTACTCCCAGATTAAAAACCTGATTGGTGGTTTCCAGCTGGATTAACTGAAACTGTGTGCTAAATTGTAAATGCTCTTATTTGGTCAAAAAAGTACTTTAGTTTTGTTTTTATTCAGCTGAAGATGATTTTGTTACATTCAGGCATTGGTTTCTTCTCTGTATTTACCCAGAGTTTGGATGGGTTAATGGTCACCTGGTGACAATGTAATGTACAGCTGTGTCCCTTCTGCAACACATCATAAAGTTTGTTACTTCTGTTGTGTATTAAGATCTGAGTTAGAGGGAGCATAAAGATAATGAATAAGAGGGACCCTAAGATGGAGCCTTGGGGAACGCCACATGTGAGTTTTGACGTCTTTAAATTTAAAGTTACCTACTGGATTTAAACCAGTCCAGTGCTGGACCAGAAAGGCTGACCCAGTTTTCCAGGCGCTCAAAAAACCCCAAAACAAAGTACTTAACAATGCCCAATGCTGCACTAATATCCAATAATAATAGGACTGTTGTTCTTGTGCATTTATAAAGATGTCAATGAACTCCTTGACAAGGGCAGTCTTTGCTGTGGTGAGCAGAGAAGTCTGATTGGAAGACGTTGAAGCAACTTAACATTGTTAGGAAGTCGTTTAGTTGTTGAAACACAGCTTTTTCAATAGATCTACTGATGAAGGGGAAGTTTGAGATCATTGGTGAAGAAACTGCCAAAGACAAACACAAACTCCCAGGTTTGTAAAACCCAACCGCTTATAGTGATTAGGCTCTTCTTTGTGAAGACTGAACAAAGTCAACCAAAAAACACACCTTAGTTCCTTGACATTAGCTAAAAAGAACAGTTGCTGTCACTGTACAGATTAGCTGCTAAAAGAGCTACTTTGTTTTAGGTTTGAGCAGAAATGGGAATGTTGATTATTGTGCAGGCGGAGCTCAGTCAAGGTGGTTTGTCCTGGAGTAGGTAGGTAAAAACAGCTGAGACCAGGGTACCATTAATTTTCCAGGACTGGGAGGTCCATGAGAGCAGAATTCACCAATAATTTCTCATACATGCATGAATCAAGAAAAATACCAATTTGGAAATTATTTTTAATGAGGGAATAACAATATAAGACTTTTAAAAGCTAAACAAAAAAAAATGATTCTACATGATATAGGAGCTTAAAAGTTATACACAGCAAGGCTGTTTCTGCATTCTGCATAAAAAGGGGCGCTTTTAAAAGCCAATTTAATTAATTATACTTATTTTAAGAGGTCCAAGCTGGTCCAACTCTTGGTTTTTTTCCTAATAAGTTTTTTTTTTTTTTTTCTAGGACTGGCAAAATCAAAGCCATAGAGATACGAGATTTCTGACAACTCCATTGACGACAATGGGAAACATTTTAAACAGCAATGGCGACACGCATGTTAGCTACATGAGCATTAGACTTTATTAAACCATTTTAAACTACAGGAAAATAGACAACAGGTCTTAAATATCACATCATGCTCTCTGCTTCTATCTGATGTTCAAATATAATAATAAATAATGTTTGAGATGGATAAAACAGTTTATTAGTTATGTTTATACTAAACAAGTACAAATACTAAAAAGGAATTTGTAAAACTACATCCACTCATACTTAACACCCATTATTTTAAGTAGAGTCAGGAATAGGCCTAAGAATAAAAAAACAAAAAAAGAAAAAAACACATTTCACACTGCTAACAACAGAAGTATAATAAGGGGTACAACCTCTCAACCAGTGAGTTTTTTCCCTTATGGCTGTGTATTTTGTGAAATAATTACTAAAAGTCACATATCTGCCTGTGTTTTGATTGAGCCAAACTATTGGACTCCCTAGCAACCTAACTTTCTTGGTTTTCCGCTAGCCCAACTTTTATCTCTATGGCTCTGAGTAAACTGTTCTGACATACGTAACTCAACCATTGATGTTGCTAAGAGAATAACTTTTTTAATGTTTAACTTTAAGCAGCCAAATGTAAACCAAAATGTTAAGAGTTCATTCATCTTGTCTGTATCGTTCGAGGAATCCCGTTGAAAGCGGTAACTCTCCTGTTCTTTTTTTAACACACTTTCCTTCCAGATATTTTACTTTCGGAATAAAATATAAAGATATGTAAGAAAGACGACACTCTTATGGATCTAACTAATGACTTTACCTTCCTCCTCTGATCCTCCTCATCCAGCAGCCTGGCCTGTAGTTGCCTCACCATGACTTGCCTCTTCCACTCAGCTATGGGGTGACCTTTCTCATCGTGGGTGGGCACCAGATAGTCGATGTCTGACAGGTTAGCCTCCTCAGTTGGCAGGACCACCATCTTGCTCTGGAAAGAAGCAAAATGAAAAATAAAAATAAGTAGGATGTTGTGTATAAACACCCTGATAAAACGGTAATTCCTTCATAGGAGCCAGATTCCTGTGAGCCTTTGATAGGGGTTACGCTCACTTCAATTAAATCTGTGAGGAAATCCAAAAATAGTGAAATGACGGACAAAAAAGTTGTGTTTTTGCATAACAAGATGATTTTTAAAACTTGTTAATCAAAGCAGGTAATGCAATGTGTTCTTATAACAATCCAGACTGAAGAGAAAACAGGTTTTAAAATATTAACTGTATACATTTATAAAATTCTGAAAAGTTCTTTCATTATTTGTAGTGTAACAAGGCGGCAGACGTACTGCTTGTCCAGCAAAGACTCCTGACATCCCTGACTCCTTCAGCGATTTAATGTTCTTCATGTCACCCAGGAGTTTCCTCTCAGCCAGGAGGTTTGTATCAGGAAATACTGTCTTATCAGCAGAGGCGCTTCTCTCACTCCCAGCTGCCTTGGACTGATTAAAACCTTTAATAACTGCAAAATAAATCAAATACGGTTTATGCCCCACTCATCTTCATCACAGATTAAACATAGCAACTGCTAAACAGTACAATTTGTTTCCTTACTTTGCTAAAAGAGTTATCAAACAAGATAAAGAGAAATGTTTGTCTCACCCGATGCGGCAATCTGGACCTGCTCTATTCTCCTTGCTGCGGTTCTTCCTGAAGCAGAGGGTGGTGGAGGTGCAGGGGCGGCCTGAGGGTATCTAGCCTGTGGTGGCTCCTCACACTCAGGTTGCTTCAAAGAGGGATTCTTTTTTTGTTATTTAAAACTAGAAAGAATGAAACAAATATGGAAATACCTTTAAATCTAATTACCTTCAAACTATCCATGTGTTTGTTACAGCTTTGACTGTCTCTGCACTCCTCACTCAGCCTCCCGTAGTAGTCCTCTTTGCTGCGAGGAAACAACACAGTCTGCTTCACCTCCACGTCCTCCTCTGCCGGAGTCAGAACCTCGATGGATCTGTCTGCACACGATGCCTAAAAATAATAAACCATCAGAAAACTGCTGGGTGGCTCAGATCATACCATTAGAGATGCTTTAATTATGATTATGCTGATCATTATCATAATTTAACTGCTTTGTTTTTAAAACATATACAAATAAAAAATATAACCATGGATGTCTGGGGGACAGTGATTTGCCTACATGTTATGAATGCTGGCGTACCATAAAGAATAAAATAGGGAACAGTTTAGTTTGTGCCTTCAACTCGTTGCCCATAGAAAGACATTACTTGGATATAACCGGAATATCTTCAGAAGGGCTACAAATGACACAAAACTCATATGGGTGAGTAGAACATGATGTAATAACGTAAAATACAGGGGCCAATGTAAAACGTCGGCGTTCCTCTTTAAAGCTTTGGGTGACATCAAATAATTAGTTGTCATCTTAATTGGCCAACCAATCAATTAAGATGACAGGTTTTAAAATATGCCCTTTCAAGAAGTATCAGCTCAGCTGTTAGTCAGCTGGCTAATTCTGCATATAATGAGGTAAAGTCAGGTTTTCACATTCCTACAAGTGTTAGATATATCTCTCCACAACAAGCCTGAATCAAATGAATGACACGTGACCAGGCCGCTGCAGAGCTGAATGATCAGCTAATGAAGGAATTCAGCTATTTGATTCCTTTAGACTATAGCAGGAATGCATCCTAATCTTGTACGATGACAGCTCTTGAGGACTTGGCCATCCCTCGCATAAGCTGAATCTTTCCTTTCAAATTTTAGCAAGTTACTGATAGCCCCAATGCTTGTTACATATGCCTGATGGCGAGGTTGGCTTCCCCGCAAACTCTCTACATCAGTCCCACTAAGGGTACTATTTGAGGCTGGAAAATGTGGATCCCCCTTTGTTACTGTCCGTTCAGCAGCAAAGGAGTTGGCGGCTATTTTGGCTAGAAATAAAACAAGTAAAGATGATTAAACTGAGGCAAACAGGGGCTGAAGTTTTTTCAGCAGTGACCTGGTCATCTGTTTTCTAATCAATTGCCTGAATGATTCAAATCAATTGTAAGAGACAATTAATCCACCGTCCTCCTTATTTTGACCTCTACTGTTCTTTTATAGAGAAACGTGATCATTTCATTTCTTTGCAGTGGCTAACAGCTCACTGGTTTTCAAAAACAATGAAAATACCGATAATCTGTTATGGCCTTAGTAGAAATAATCCTATACTCTCAGATGTAGCTCATACATAATTGAAGTAGGTAAACAGTTGGTAAAAACACTCAAAATATACAGAATAAACTAAGAAATATTTAGTATTGATAATCTCTTTGAAATACTTTAAATAATATTAATGCATTAATACTCTGCATCGCTCGATTTTCCATCAGAAACAGAATTTTTCATGTTTTCCCACAAGGCCTCCAATGGATTAAGTTTCAGGAATTGGGATATAGCCCAGAGGTTTCCAAATTTTTCAGCTTCTGACATGGCTGCTGGAAGGCATTTTTAACAGGAGATGCTGTGAAAATTTTGTTTTTTTTTGTTAAAAGACCTATGTGCCTATAGGCCTATTTAAAATACAATAAGAATGAATACATAAATAGATTGAGATTCACTACTTTATTGTCATGTAGCCTTCAGTGCACGCAACCAGGGTCTGTAAAACACAGACATCATCAGTTCTCGGGTGAATATATGTGCTATTAATTAAACTTCTCAATAACACTATAACAACGTAGATTTGGTCTGCTTGCATGAACCTGAGTCACTGTGTTTATGTCACATGTGACTCTTTTAGCTGAAAAATCTATTTATGCAAACCACAAGGAAATAATTATATTATTATACTATTTAAACTTTATTGAACAGTTCTGCATTACACTAAAAACTAAAAATCAAAATAACACTCAAAATTACTATGGCTACGTTAAACTGCATGAACAATGCACGAATGTGCGCGGCATTGTGCTCTTACTCTGAGCCACAGGCAGGGTGGCCTGCCTGGTTACAGGTGTCCTATTGCTCAGGTGCGCTCTGAGATCGTGGAGATAAAGTCCCTCATGAGCGGACGAATCGAAAACATTTTTCTGTGCCATATTTCCTTCTCGTTTCTGTCATTAGACTATATTTACTAGTCTGCTGCCACCAGCGGGATACCACACTCTAGCTTGCTTGCCTTTGCCGAGAACGTAACTTCCATGAACCTTGTATTGATTAGGCCTCAAAATAATACAATTAAATTCATTAAATTAAAATTCAAACCCACGTAATAGTAAAATAAAAAAGCCAAAATCATTTCCCAAAACATTATATGCAAAGTGTTTAGGCCTGCTGATGTCTTTTTTGGCCTATGCGGCAGAATAGCTTCATACGGGCATCTTCTCATCGTCACAGTTCTCACTGTTACCTTCAGACACGCTTTGGTCCCATTGGAGCTGATGATTGGCTGAGTCTTTTCCATTTAAGCTAGTCTTTGATCCATTTAAAAAGCAGCCTTTTGTTTTTTTCCTTGTCTCTCTGGTTTTGCTTTCTAACGTAAAGCGTTGGAGATAATCTCAAGCAAACAGCCTATCACTTTCTCTACTGCTTTAAATGTTTCCCCCTCTCCGATACACTTTTTAATCAAAGTGAACTGTTTTTCTCAGCACCCACCCATTTCTGTCCCGTTTTGAAGGACAAACGAGTACGTACATTCTGTGGTGACTCATTACAGGACAAATAACCCTAGAATTCTCTTATTTATGATAAAGAGTGGACTTAGATGTCTTATAGTGCTTTTTGTTTTGCCAACTTATTGCCCATTTGTTGCAAACCAGATTTTGTGTCTAAAACCATCTGTTTGCTCCCCCATGTTTAATGACCAATTTAAACAACAACTGATTTAAATCAGAGACGGCGGTAGCTCTACAGCAAAAAGATTCAGCCACCCCAGACCCCAGTAGCCTCTATAAGCAATGAGAAATTTCCTCTCTACATCCCAATATCATCCCTTTGATCGCTGTCCATGCCGCTGTCTATCCATCAGTCAATCACACCTGGTCTGCCAACCCTGCTGCTCTTCCATGAGATGCATTATTTACATATTAGATGTAGAGAGAAAAAAAAGACTCCATAAGCGGGCTGAGATGTTCTTTACATAAGGGCCACCTGATTGTCACCTGTTTCATCACAGAATAATTGATTTCTGAAACTGAACTAAACATCTTTTAATGAGTTATTTAATTAAAAAGACTCAAAAGCATGAATGTAGAAAAAACAAAAAAATCTGTTTCTTGGTTTTTATGACTCTACTTCACCCACTAATAAAATAAATCTTATATTGCAAAGTGATTTACATCGAAACACGGTTTTAATCTGATTGGTTTAGTTGGACGGCCGTAATTTTGAAGACATCTGGTGACATCATGGTTTCCTCCACTGTCTTTCTGCTCCTTGATTGGATTGATGAAGTGAAGCGATCAGTTAGGTATCTCCTCATTAAACCTCTTTGATTCGTTACTGCATATCCTCACATAATTGTTGCAAGACAAAATCTGTTATTGGGAGGATCTAATAAACAGTTCCAATTGTAACAAGGAAATAGGAGACTATCAAGGAGCGTAAACAAGGAACAAAAGAACCAAGACAGATTGGTCCCGGCAGTCAGTCGAGATTTGTTTGGATTGTTCTCTAACAAAGTAAAAAGAACATTTGTATCGGAGATATGAAGGGGAAAAGTTACCATCTAAAGAGCTTGGATGCTGTTTAACTAAAAAAAAGACCAAAAGGAGAGAAAAAAATGATCAGGTAAAATAAACTTTAAAGCGTCACAAGTGAAGGTAATATTAAGCCTGCAGACATCCTCTGTAAAAGAAAAAGAACAAAAGCAGTGTAATAAACGAGCGTGAATAAGTGGCGGCACTTCACACCGCTTGGGGAGGATGTAGGATATATGGAAACGTTTAGGCTCCCTTTAATGAACCTGTATTGGCTTAATGCGCTCCATACACAATGCATATCAAATTCAGCTCTCAAAGGACATTATTAGCAACCGAAACATCAAAGGCCGACCCTAATACGCCGCTGCGTGCTGTTGTGCTTTATGTCCACGAGGTGGTCCTCCCATTTCCTCTCACCCGGCACTTTGATGTTGAGCTACATGAAATATTCTGTGACACCAATCAGCCGGAGAAACAAACTTCCCAGAAGTTGTGCAATCCATAAATAGATAAACAACTCGAGCTGGGAAAAAGTAAGGGTGTGGGGAGAGGGGGCCTTCTGACCCTTCTCGTAACAGTTCAACGTCCCGAAAGCACAGATGAACCTTGTGTGTGCTTTTAATTGGACTCTCTGGCCAGAAAACATTTGGTTTTCATCAGGACTCCGTCACACAGTTGCCACGCAGCTACAGATAGCCTGCGTTTGGCTCCCAGCCACTCTCCCTGGGCCCGAAAGACAAGAGAGACGCCGATCTCCACAGATTAGCAGCCAAGAGTTAGGAAACAGCTATAACACACAGTGCTGTCCCATTGTGCAGCATGAGGCATCAGTGATGTTCAGTCCCAACAGAGAGGAGCAACAAGTGAGCCTTAAGCTTTTCACAGCAGCGGGTGGACTTAAAAAACACCACATGTGATGCTGCGCTGGATTTAATCTACAAAATCACCCGCTTCTGTGTAAAGCAGGCCTATTACAGGTGCGAAATAGCAAGCTGGAAATGTATACACCCGGGTTTGCGTTATACACAGAATACTATAGTGTAAATACATTTCAACCCACATGGCTGCATACACTCAGGTTTCCCCCACAGAGAGCCAAAAAGGCTTGGATTAACTTTATTCGCATTTGTCAGTTAAATTAATGAGAAACAAATCAATTTCATTACTACACTGAAAGAAAATAATGCAACCGTTTCTGGCATCTACTTAACCATATTTAGCTACTTTAACACCAAAGTCCTACCATGTTAATAAGAATAAATTGCATACATAGGTAAATGCCAAAAACAGTTGCATTGTTTTTTACTAACTAAAAAGTCTTA